TTTTGGTCGTGGGCATCGCGGTGTCGTCAAGGCGGTGGGCGTAATGGTCGTGATGGTCGTGGCGGTCGTGGTGGAGGAGGTGGTGGTTGTGGTCGTGGTGGTGGGTGTCGTCGCGGTAGCGGCGTGGTCGCTCTGGTCGTGGTGGTGGTCGACGTGGTGGTCGCACGGGTCGGGGTGGTGGCTATGTTAGTGGTCGTCGTACCAGCGATGGTGGCTGAGTCGGAGCTGGCAACAAGCAATGGACGGGGAGCGGTCACATTGCACATGCAAAAAAACCCAATGGCGCGTGCTATCTGCCTGGCCCGCGTGCATGGGGGGAAATCCCGTTCGGTGTGCAATCTGTCTGGCCCCCTTCCAGCGCGTCTTAGAATGTGTGCCCCCCGTCGGGGCGTGTGCTATCTGCCTGGTGCGCCCGTGGGAGGGGGATCGTCTTGGAGCTCTTTTGGGCCGTCTTTGAAACCCCTTGGGCGGTCATGAAGGCCATTTTGGCTTTCGCCCCGCACTCCGTGCAGGGCCAGCGTCCGCGTAGTCTTCTTTGGGTGCGTATGTATGTAGGCCTCTTGGATGCTTCTCGGAGTCTGTTGGGATGTCTTTTGATAGATTGTTGGACGTAGGTCGCTTGGGACAGCTTGGGAGCGTCTTGGCGGCCCCGAGGGTCTCTTGCAGCGTATTGTGCCTCGGCGGGGGGCCCTGGGGCCTTCGTGAGTTCAGTGATTGACGCCCTGAAAGACCCTCTTTGGCTCTGGCCCGCGTTCGGATGCCGCCCCCCTCTCCCTCTTACAGACGTGCTGCTGTTTCGTGGGTCTGAATATTTGTTTGGACTCGAAGAGGTCGAGGAGCAGGAGGAGGATAACGAGGAGCACGGGAGCAGCAGGCGGAGGACGAGGAGCACGAGATGGTATAGCATCCTTGTCTATCTATCTATCTATACATACATACATACATACAAACATACATACATACATACATATATATGTGTAATGGTGGGCGACTCCTGCCCCGCGTCGAGAGAGGAGGGGGAGCAGCACGAGGTACAGCAGGACACAAGGAGGAGGAGGAGGAGGAGGAGGCGGAGGAGGAGGAGGAGGAGGAGGAGGAGGAGGATGGGGGACGAGAAGGAGAGAAGGAGCGGCATGAGGAGGAGGAGGAGGAGGAGGAGGAGGAGGAGGAGGAGGAGGAGCGAGGGTGTCCGCCCTCGGGGCAGTGTGCTATTTGCATGGTGCGCCTCCTCCCCCTCGGGGCGTCGCGAAATCGATCGAGTTCTTAGAAATGGCAGGTTTGCTCGAGACATCCTTAACACATGATTTCGGAGGGGGACCCTGAGATCATCAAAAGGCCGTTTCGTTTTAAACATCCTCCACAAATCGGCCAGTTCGCAATTTCGTCTTGGCTCTGGGCCCCCCCGACGGCCCAAGAGGTCCCCAACGCAGCTTAAAATACGCCCAAGATGATGATTGTGACATGGGTGATGCCGATTGCGATGGCAACGCTGGCGATGACGACGATTGTGATGTCCCCCACCCCCATCGCCCGTATGTGCTCTCTGCCTGGCGGGGGCATCTTGGGCTTTTGCGGGGCCGTATTGGGCCGTCTTGGAGCCGTCTGAAGCATGTCGGGCCATCTTGGCAGCCTCGTGGCTTCCCAGGGCCGCCCTAGAAGCCTGCGCGACCCCCTGGGTGGAGACGACAGAAACCCTGCCAGGCAACAAGTGGTATTCTGACACGCCTCGACGCGCCAGGATATGTGTACATCAGGCGTGCAGGGGCTCTGCGATGCGAGGGTCCCGGGTGTGACCACAGCTGCCTCTCCTTTCAGTTTGAAACAACTTCAGGGCGGGCCAAACCTGAACAGCACGTCCGCGGGGACGATCCTAGATGCTTGACGCTGCGTCGGGGCGCGGCTCGACGGCGTGGATCAGGACGCACCTGCATCCACCCACCCCTATGCCCCAAGCGGGGGCCCTGTGTCTGTGAGGATGTCTCGAGCGACGGTGCCGCGGTTGTGATGGTGGCACGAGCGGCGGTGCCGCGGTGGTGAGGGTGTCTCGAGCGGCGGAGTTGGCGGCTCCGCGGTTGCGAGGATGTGTCAAGCGGCAGCGCCATCCCGCCCCATGGGTGCCCCCCCCCCCCCTTCGGGGCGTGTGCTATCTGCCTGGTGCGCCCCCGTGGGAGGAGGGGGAGGATCATGAGGAGCACGAAAGCAGCACGAGGAAGATGAGGAACACGATGGGAGATGGCATCCACATGAAAAAACGATGTGGGCGGTTCCCACTGGGAGGGCCCGGGGCGCCGCTGCTGGCCAAACTCGCAGACGCAGAAGCTCTTCGACGATGTCAAACGCATGTGTTTCTCGTACTGTGGCGTGCTGGCACGCTCGGCCACTCAGGCGAGTCGGTTGCATGCCGTGGCAACAGGCAGCAGTCAGGTGCCCAAAATGTTTGGGACGGCCTTGGAAGGCCAAAGACTTGGCCCCGCGTCGAAGTAGGAGGGGGAGCAGCACGAAGAGGAGGAGGAGGAGGAGGAGGAGGAGGAGAAGAAGTAAGAAGAGCGATGAGAAGGAGCAGCAGGAGGAGACGGAGGAGCGAAGGTGTCACCTCCCCCCTGGGGCAACGTGCTATCTGCATGGTGCGCCTCCTCCCCCTCGGGGCATGGCGAAACCGCTCGAGAGCTCAGAAATTGTCGTTTCGCTCGAGACATCCTCAAAACATGATTTCGGAAGGGGGCCCTTGAAATCATCAAAACGCCAGTCTCGCTCGAGACATCCTCTACACATCGCCTTGTTCGCAATTTCGTCTTGGCTCTGGGCCCCCCGACGGCCCAAGAGGTTCCCAACACAGCTTAATCAATATATATATATATATATATTAAACATTTGTATTATACCTGTATGTGTTCATATATATATATATATACAAACATATAGTTACGCCCAAGACGACCCTAAGTGGCTCCAGAGCCGGACCAGCTGCCAGCTAACCTTTTCGGAACCGCCGTGCTGGCGTCACGGCTCCTCCACCCTCCTCCTCCTCCTCCTCGCCCCGCCCCTGTTTCCTTTTGGGCATGTGCTACCTGTCTGGCGCAGGGTCTGAGGGAGGCAGTGATGTGATTGAGTCCGAGTGACTTGCGACGGCGGCCCCGCGGTTGCGAGGATGTCTCGGGCGGCGGCGCCGCGGCTGTGAGGGTGTCCCGAGCGGCGGTGTCGCTGTTGTGGGGGTGTCTCGAGCGGCGGCGCCGCAGATGTGAGGATGGCCCGATCGGCGGCGCCGCGGTTGCGAGGATGCCCCGAGCGGCGGCGCCGCGGTTGCGAGGATGTCCCGAGCGGCGGGCTGCGGCTGCGATGATGTTTCGAGCGCCGGCGCAATCCAGCCTCCCCGCCCTGCCTCCTCTTGGGCGCGTGCTATCTGAAGTTCCCTCTCCGTATTGTCCCTAAGGACTGTCCTCAGAGAGGACGCGCGTGCTATCTGGTATGTCCTGGTTCGGGGGTCTGGGGGTCATGCGGTGCTATCTGTCCTGGCTGGGTTTTTATGTTATGTGATTGCCCCTGGGCGTTCGGAGTTCCTCGCGGATTTCTCGGAGCGGCGCTGGAGCCCCCTCCCTGGGCTCGTCGACCCACGAGTGCGCGCGGGTTGCTCACATCCTTTGCATTAAGTCGGGCGTGTCCCTCTACAGGAGGAATATTCAAAAATAGTCAAACATAGTCCAAGGATGATGTTTTTACAATTTCTGAGTATTTGTTGAATACGATTTGTTTATTGTTCCCCAGAAATCCGCCTGTAGGGGGACGTGCCCGACTTAACCTTTGCAACACGTTCGCTTCTCCCTCTGGGTACAAACAATAACATAAACATCAGCTGTTGGAATCCGCCTGTATTTCTCGGATCGGTGCTGCCCCTCCCTGAGCAGGTCGGGCTACGGGTGTGGACGTTTGCTCGCATCCTTTGACTCGCGTTCTCCTCGCCTTCACAGGGAATATACAGAGGCATAGACATAGATGTTTGCTCGCATCGCGTTGCAATGACATAGACATAAACATACATATAATATAACTACGTAGCACCCCGCAGATGTGGATAATAATGAGGGGGCGGTGGGGACGTCGGTAGTCTGCGAGACTCTGGAGAAGCCCGCCGCAGGCGCCAACATGTCACAAAATATACAACTAGCCCGCCGCAGGTGCCGATTTTATCTTCAAACCAATGTGGATCGGTCGCGGGTGGGTCGCGGGTGGGTCGCGGGATGGGTCGCGGGTGGGTCGCGGGATGGGTCGCGGGTGGACGCGGATGGGTCGCAGATGGGTCGCGGGATGGGTCGCGGGTGGACGCGGATGGGTCGCAGATGGGTCGCGGGGTGGGTCGCGGGTGGGTCGCGGGGTGGGTCGCGGGGTGGGTCGCGGGGTGGGTCGCGGGGTTGGTCGCGGGTGGGTCGCGGGGGGGACCACGACTACAAATAACAGCAACAACAGCAACAACAACAACCAACAAACATCATCCTCACTACGGATTTCCACTTCAGCCACGCACCCAGGGACAACGAATGAACGTTCGGCCCCCTCACTCTGACATGTTCGGAGGTCCGCGCGGAATTCTCGAATCGGCGCTGGAGCCCCCTGGCGGCGCCTCCGGCGCCGCTCGTGGCTCGCTCCGATCTACGATGTCTGTTGGGATGTTCGAGAGTTCACGTTGTTGTCATTTGATGTTTTTCCACTCTCTCTCTCTATCTCTCTCCTTCTCCTCCTCGGTCAAGAACGCGTCTGTGCATTGCCCGAGCTGCCTGGTATCAGCTCGCATGAAGATGTCCGAGGGGGCCGACCACGCATGCGCCATCTCGTCGCCAGTATACGCGCTTGGTGCAAGATTACTATTCGTCGACTGTGTGCCGCCGTGTGTAGCTTGGTTGCGTTGCCATCTCATTCGGATCCATGTCCTTCCTCACGTGCTCAACTCATTCTGCAATATCGTACCACGAACGCTTTGCATTGTGATCCCTGTCACCCTTCCGGAGTTCTTCGTCGACCACAGTGACAACAAGTTTGACATTGACAACGTCTCATCGAATAGCGGCGAACAACTCGAGGACGTCGTAGCACGTGATACCATTGTTGCCGCACTGCTCTTGGGCTGGGCTGTGCTAGCACGAGGATAAATACGTTTCGGAGCGTTCCAGAACGCCCTCAGAGCGTTCTGGAACGCTCTGGGACACTCACAAGAGGCCGCGGCGCCCGATACATGCTCCAGAGCCGCCAGATCTCGGAGAGTCCGAATTCATCCTCGCCCGAATTTGTCCTCGTCCTGGCTTCGTCTTGCATTGTTGCCGCACTGGTCTTGCGCCGGTCTTCGATGCATCACTGCTTCTTGGGCGGCGCTTTACGAGGGGGCGGTACATGGGGGGGAGCAGCGAGGTCCGCAGGAAAGGGGCCCTTTAGGGTCCCAAAGAGGGTCTTCGGCGATCGAGGAGGAGGAGGACGAGGAGGAGGAGGAGGATGAGGACGAGGAGGACTAGGAGGAGGACGAGGAGAACGAGGAGGAGGAGGAGGAGGAGGAGAATGACGAGGAAGAGGAGGAGGAGGAGGAGGAGGAGGACGAGGAGGAGGAGGACGAGGAGGAGGAGGAGGAGTAGGAGGAGGACGAGGAGGAGGAGGACGACGAGGAGGAGGACGAGGAAGACGAGGAGGATGAGGAGGAGGAGGAGGAGGAGGAGGTGGTGGCCTTGCAGGGGCGCGGAGGCGGCCGAGCCTATCGTGCGTCGCGGCCTGGGCCGCAGAGCGGCCCCCCTCTCCAAGGGGCGCCGCGCGAGAGGACGGCGGTGGCCGCGCCTCGCGCAGCGCGGCGAGCGATGCACGAAGCTAAGCTGACCCAGTCGTCGACGTCGTCGTCGTCGACGTGGTCGTCGACGTCGTCGTCGTCGTCGTCGTCGACCTCGTCGACCTCGTCGACCTCGTCGACCTTGTCGACCTCGTCGTCGTCGTCGTCGTCATCGTCGTCGTCGTCGTCGTCGACCTCGTCGACCTCGTCGACCTCGTCGACCTGGTGGACCTCATCGACCTCGTCGACCTCGTCGACCTCGTCGACCTCGTCTTTGTCCTCTTCCTCGCCCTCGTCCTCAGCATCGTCATCTTCGTCGTCGTCCTCGTCGTCGTCTTCATCGCCGTCGTCGCCGTCGGTGCTCATCCATGTAACTAGTAATGCTGTAGAGGGAGACAATTCTTGGGCATTCCTCCTCTCTCGCAAATTCCAAGTTGGCACGCGCGGGGGAGACTGCGGTCGAAGTGCAACTCGTTTTGGCATGAGTGCTCGATCATTTCTTCCGAGGCTTGGTTGTTCGTTCATGCCTCCTTTTCTATCCTTCTCCCTCCCTCCTCAATGTAACACGCTTTCGCGATGCCCCGACCGTCATGTAGCCTGGCACGTCGCTGATTCACAAGACCAACATTGCAGCGGCGTTCTGGCTTAGCTCAGCGAGTGATTCGCTAAAGTGCTTGCGCAGCGGCCACGGGGAACCCGGCCGCGCTCGCGTGGCCTAAGACCATCCGTGGCACCGAGTCCTCCGTGCTCCCGAGACGAGCGGCGTCGAATGCGGAGGCGAGCTCGTGCCCAAGCGGCGCCGACGACACAACAGATTGCGAGGCCTCGCAGGGTCCACTTCGATCCGATGGCTCCGATTCGATGTCAAGTGCCGGCCCAGCTGTGCCGGCAAGGGAATAGAAAAGAAGGGCTCAGCGGTGCCGGCGGCCGATGCGGTGGCCCGATAGGGTCGCCCCAGCGGACACAGCGGTCCCAGCACAGACCCCCGAGGTGGATCCCCAGCTGTCATAGCGTGGGCCCCCAGAGGCGTGGACCACTTCCCTGGGACTGGCTTTTCATCCCTGGTCGTCTCTTGACTCTGGGCTTTCCAGATGGGGTGCGAGCAGGTAGGGTCGGAGGATCGCGCCGCATCGCCGATGCATCGGCGATGCGGCTCGATGTGGAGTCAAATCTTCTCGACGCCGATGGCGCCGATACATCGCCGACGTCGCCGACGCACCACCGAAACATTGGCGATGCATCGGCCATGCGTCACGATCCTGCGACCCCCTCTGCTCCGACCCCATCTAGGAGACCTCTACGGTGCTGGGGCCCGGGAAGGGCGTCTGCAGGGCCTAAAACTGCCAACGACCCCCCCGTCGTGATTGTTTCGGTGGCGCGGGCGTGTCTGGGCTTGGTGGTCGCCCTGGGCACAGTGGCCCCAGGGTCAGGAGCGAAACATATACAAGTTAACACCAATAAGCGCTGACAGCCGTGCACAGATTGGAAAGCATTGGCAATGGAGGGGGGTACGAGCATCCAGGAACTGTGTGAGAAGACATGGAACCCTGGAATGTGTGACGACTCACTTTTCTCACAGGGGCACCTTTACACGGGCCCTGCAGCCGCTCCAGCGGCGGCGCCGAGGGACATCGGCACTTTTTACAAGCGCGAAGAAGCCCTGTGGCGAGGAGGGGACAGGGAGGGAGGAGAGGCGGGGGGGGAGCGCGCCCCAGCAAGCGCCCCGGCGAACTTGCCTGAATTCATCAGGCGCCCTTGGCCGCTCAACGAGGCGTTCACGCAGAGCGGCCCGCCACGCGGCCTCGGCGCCACCCGCGCGCACCAGCACGGTTCGGATCGCCCGAGACTCCCTGGGGGGTTGCGCGGAAGACGCGCGGCGCAGGCCGCGGGAGCCCCCAGGCGGGGGATCGGGGGCGGGCGGGCCCTGCTCGCCCGTCCGACTGGCGGCCCTGGCGCGCAGGAGGCACCGAGCCAAGTCCGGTGCAGCGGCCGTGCTTTTCGCCCCCCCCCCCCCCCCCCCCCCACCTCCTCCTCCTCCTCTCCTCCTCCTCCTCCTCCTCCTCCTTTTCTTCCTCTTCCTCCTCCTCCTTTTCTTCCTCTTCCTCCTCCTCCTCCTCCTCCTCCTCCTTTTCTTCCTCTTCCTCCTCCTCCTCCTTCTCCTCCTCCTCCTCCTCCTCCTCCTGATGATCCTCGTTTAATTACCGAGGTTTCCTCGTTCTCCTCGTTTTCCTCCTCCTCCTCCTCCTCGTCCTCCTCCGCGAGCCTCTGGGCTTCCCAGATGGGGTCCGAGCAGGTCGGGTCGAAGAATCGCGCCTCCTTGCCGATGCATCGGCGATGCGGCTGGATGGGGAGCCCGATGTTCTCGACGCCGACGACGCCAATGCATCGCCGACGTCGCCGATACATCGACGAAGCGGCGCGATCCTCCGACCCGGGAGGCCTCTGGTGGGCCCTGGGCAGCTGGACCAGCTGCGGCGAGATCGACAGTTCTCGGGATGCACCTGGGCCCCCCACCACTGCGCATCAGGGGCATGGCCTGGGCACTCCAGGATCTGCGCCAGGCTCACGAAGACTGTGAAGCGGGATGAGCAGGCGGAGGAAGGAAGCATAGCGAGATGGTGTCAGTGATGATGTTGCTGCTGCTGCTGCTGCTGCTGCTGATGATGATGATGATACTGATGATGGTGATGACGGTGATGATGACGCTGATGATGATACTGGTGATGATGACGATGATGATGATGATGATGATGATGATGATGATGATGATGATGATGATGATGGTGAGTTGATGATGATGAGTGTGATGCTGATGCTGATGCTGATGCCATTGATGGTGATATCGTTGGTGATGATTAGTCTGATGGTGCTGAGGCTGGTGATGATGGTGATGATGTTGATGATATTGATGATGATGTTGATGTTGATTATGATGATGATGATGATGATGGTGATGATGGTGATGGTGATGCTGATATTGTGGTGATGGTAATGGTGGTGGCGATATGATGTTGGTGAAGGTGATGGTGATGGCGATAATGCTGGTGATGTTGATGTTGTTGATGCTGTTGGTTATTATGATGTTGATTATGGTGACGATGATGTTGCTGATGATGAGGACTATGATGAGGCGTATAGTGTTGACGATTGTGCTGATGATACTGGTGATGCTGCTGTTGTTGATGATGAGGGTGATGAGGATGCTGATGATGCTGATGAGGGTGATGAGGACTATGATGATGAGTATGATGATGCTGAGAATGATGGGGACGGTCAGGATAATGATGATGATGATGACGATGATGACGATGACGATGACGACGACGACGACGACGGCGACGACGACGACGGTGACGATGATGATGATGATGATGATGGTGATGGTGATGGTGCTGCTTCTGGTGATACTGCTGATGATGCTGCTGATGATGATGTGATGATGATGATGATGCTGATGATGATGATGATGCTGATGATGATGATGAGGGTATCGATGCCGACGCTGCTGCTGCTGCTGTGGTGGTTGATGGTCATGCCGGTGACTGTGATGCTGCGGCGGGAGGATGAATACGACGAGGATAACCATGGTGATGGTGGCGGTGATGATGTTATCGAGGGTGATGGTGGTGACGATGGCGATGGTGGTGGTGATGATGTTGATGATGATGATGATGACGACGACGATGATGATGATGATGCTGATGATGCTGCTGATGATGATGATGATGATGATGATGATGATGATGATGATGATGATGATGATGATGATGATGATGATGATGATGAGCAGGAGGAGAAGGAAGAGGAGCAGGTGGAGGAGTCTATGAGGGGAAGTGAAAAGAGTAGAGGAGAACAATCGAGGAGGAGGGCAGGAGGACGACGGGAGGCCGAGAAGGACAATTATATCAGGAGGGGGAGGAGGAGGAGGAGGAGCAAGATACGGAGGCGGAGGCGGAAGAGGGGAGGAGAGCGGAGAGAGGAGAGAGGAGGGGGAGGGGGAGGAGGAAGAGGACAAATACTGACGAGGCGGAGAGGATATGAGAGGATGGTCATGGAGGGCGGAGAGAGGTGTTGGGCCATGGTCAGCGGCGCACCTCGTTATCGGTGGCCCTGGCCAAAGCAAGATCGTACCTACGTCAGGGCGCCTGCCAGGGCTCCCTAGGATTCCACCTCTCCCCCTCCTCACTCTTCTCCTGGGCATCCCTTCTCCGTCCTTCCTTGTCCCTGTCCTTTCATCCCTCCATCCTTTCCTCCTTGCCCCCTCGATCCTTGTCCCACCGTCCTTCCCTCCATCCCTGTTCCCTCTGTCCTTTCCTGCTCTCCTCCGTCCTTCCTTGTCCCCCCATGTCTTCTCCTGGGCCTCCTTTTTCCGTCCTTACTTGCCCCTTCTACCTACCTCAGCGCTCGACCATTCAGCTCCCGGCCGCGCCGCCACCCCTCTTGGCAGCCCTGGTCGGAGCGGCCAGGAACGGGGCGACAGAAGACACTACGGTGACTTCTGCGACCACTGCGACCACTGCGACCACCACATCTACCGCCATCGAGGCGTCCGTGCCTTCTCTCTCTGTGTGTGTGTCTGTCTGTTTTACGGCTTGTCCGTTTGTTCCTGTTTTTTGTTAAGAAAATAACGCACTCTCTCGTTCGCTCCTTTTCTCTCTCTATCTCTCTTGCGAATATCCTAGGGAGACTTGTCCAAGGGGTATAGTCCGCGGGTGGTTTTCCGCATCTTTGCGGGGTTGTCAAAGGGGTTGTTTGGCCGCGTTGCTTTGACAGCACGTGCACATGCAATCGAAAGCATAGCATAACCGGGGAAGTCCAGCTGGAAATGTCGCCCCCTCCTGTCCGTTCCTCGTCTCTCGTTCCCCCTTTCGCTCCCGTTCGCGCGCCCTCCTGCACCGCGCTTCCCCAAACAGCTGTGCGGACTGGGGTTCCGTTGCGGTAGAAGCTAGTTCTTGCCAAGGGGCTAGCGCTCAGAGGTACCCAGCGCTCAGAGACACTCGCCAACATCGGGACTGGTTCTGCCAGTTTCGCCACAGGCGTCCTCGTTACTCTGGGTTCGACGATGCCCTGAGGTGCTCTGGCATTGCCGCTCGAGCGCCAGTCATAATCACATGCTGGGACGCTTCTGGTATGCATCTCGGAGGGGTTGTCCAGGTTTCCTGGGGGGGTGTCAATGGATTTTCGGGCTACGATTTTTCATTGAACGTAAGAGTTACACCCACAGGTACAAGCATGTAGCACTCCCACTATCTCTCTACCGACCCCCATCATTGCGCACCCGTTATGTATGTTTGCTAGTCTTTTGTTTGCACTAATAGATCTAGACGGTAATATTGATTTTATATATATATGTACACATCGGGGGTGAGAGGGTGAGATCGAAGTGGAACGGAGAGCCCCCTTACCGGGAAATCGGTTTCGGTTCCGTGTTCGTGCGTGCCGTGCGTGCGGGCGGGGCGAAGCTGCGTGGGCGGGCGAGAAGTGTCCCGCCTCTGGCTGAGGCGCAGCCAGACCAAATGTTTCCTGTCCGGGGCCAGGTGGCGGTCGGGGTCCCGATGATGATGATGATGATCATGATGATGATGATGATGATGATGATGACGATGACGATGACGATGATGATGATGATGATGGCCATGGTGGTGATGATGATGGTGTTCCGATGATGATGATGATGTTGATGATGCTGATGTTGCTGATGATGATGATGGTGTCCCGATCATGATGATGGTGATGATCTTGATGATGCTGACGATGATGAGATGACGAGCTGGTGATGGTGATGATGAAGATGGTGATGATGATGGTGGTGGTGTCCCGATGGTGATGGTGGTTGATGCTGATGCTGTTGATGATGATGGTGATGATGATGGTGTCCCGATGATGATGATGACGATGGTGGTATCCCGTAGTGAGGATGACAGTGGTGATGAGGATGATGATGAGGTGATGATGATTTTGATGACGGTGAACCGATGATGATGGTGGTTGATGGTGATGGTGAGGATGGTGTCCCGATGATGATGATGGTGGTGATAATGATGGTGGCGATGATGGTGGTGTCCCGATGATGATGAAATTGATGATGATGGTGTTGTTGATGGTGATGATGGTGTCCCGATGGTGATGATGATGCTGTTGTTCATGATGATGAGATGATGATGATGATGATGATGATGATGGTGGCGTCCCGATGATGATGATGATGTCACGATGGTGGCGATGTTGATGATGATGACGATGGTGACGATGATGGTGTCCAGATGATGATGGTGATGATCATGGTGTTGATGGCCATGTTGGTGATGATGATGGTGTCCCGGTGACGATGATGTCGATGATGGTGATGTTGTTGGTGATGATGATGGTGTCCCGATGGTGATGATGATGCTGATGATCCAGATTATGATGTTGATGATGATATGATGAGAATGAAGATGATGATGATGATGATGGTGTCCCGATGATAATGATGATAAGGTTGATGATGATGCTGATGATGATGATGGTGGTGATGATGGTGTCCCGATGATGATGATGGTGACGATGACGACGATGATGACGATCATGTTGTCCCGGTGATGATTATGCTGATGATGGTGGTGATGAAGATGATGATGCGGTGCTGATGATGTTTTTCATGATGGTGACCCGATGCTGATGATGATTCTGATGATGATGATGATAATGGTGTCCCGATGATGGTGGTGTGGATGATGGTCATGTTGTAAATGATGATGCTAATGGTGTCCCGATGATTATGTGGATGATGTTGTTCATGCTGGCGATGAGAGGACGATGATTATGATGGTGGTGTTCCGATGATGATGATGATGCCCCGATGATGATGAGGGTGACGATGATGAAGTCCCGATGATGATGATGTTGACGGCCATGGTATTGATGATGATGGTGATGAGGTGATGATGATGATGATGATGGTGTCCCGATGATGATGATGGTGATGACGTTGTTGACGATGCTGTTGATTATGATGATGGCGATGCTTGTGATATCGATTGTGATACCGATAGTGAGATCGATAGTGAGACCGAATGTGAAATTGATTATGGGATTGATAGTGGGATGGGAAGTGACATCGATTGTGGGATCGATAGTCAGATCGATTGTGAGATCGATCGAATGAAATAGATCGAGTGATATCGATTGTGAGACCGATCGAGTGAGATCGATCGAGCGAGACCGATCGTGAGATCCATCGTGAAATTGATATTGTGACCGATCGATTGAGACGTTGGTTCTTCCCCCCTTCCAACCTCCTTATCACCCGAAGGGTGGTCGTATAGGTGTATGTGTATACATATCCATATATATATATATACATATACACATGTATATATATATATATACATATATATATATATATGATCCAGGGTCGAGGGCCCACGGCCCCCCCCCCCAGATGGTATGGTCCCAGGATTCCTCGGGCCCCCCCCCCCAGATGGTATGGTCCCAGAGACGACGACGACGACGACGACGACGACGACGACGACGACGACGACGACGACGACGACGACGACGACGACGACGACGACGCGACGACGACGACGACGACGACGACAACGACGGCAACGACGGCTGCGGCGGCGACGACGCCGGCGGCGGCGACGACGACGATGACGACGATGACGACGATGACGACGGCGACGACGACGATGACGACGACGACGACGATGACGACGACGAGGACGACGAGGACGACGAGGACGACGACGACGACGACGACGACCTCTGAACCACCACAGCACCACACCACATCCACAGGGGGGGGGAGGGGGGCACCGCAGTGCAACACCACGCCACGCCCACCTCTGAACCACCACAGCACCACACCACATCCACAGGGGGGGGGGGGGGAACCGCAGCGCAGCACCACGCCAAGCCCACAGGGGGGGGCGGGGGGGACCATCGCGCGGGGGGGTGGGGGGGCCCAATGGCATCAGCATTGGGGGGGGGTCCCAAACCCTGGACCATACATATATACATATATATATATATATATATATATATATATAGGTGTGTGTATATATATAGGTGCCTTCGGCTCACACGACCACCGCGCCTGGTCTGTGGGTCAGGAATCGCAGGAATGTTTTTCCGGTCTCTTCGGGGCGCTTTCGGGGGACTCTTGGGGGCAATTTTGAGACCTCTTGGGGGCCTCTTGGGATCTCTTGGGGCCTCTTGAGAGCCTTTTTGGCCTTTTGGGGGTTTCTTGGGGGCCGCTTTGGGCTTCCCGGGGGCCCTTCGGGGCCGAGGGCATGATATGTCCGCTCGGTCCCCCATTTCTCTCTGGGCCCCTCATGGGGTCGTCTTTGGGCCCTCTTGGACCGTCCTGGGCGCCTCTCGGGCCGTTGTGGGACCCTCTTGGGCCGTCTTGGGGCCCTCTTGGGCACTTCTGGGGCCGTCTTAGGGCGATCTTGGGGGCCTCGTTGGCGTCGTGGAGCGTCGGAAAGCCGAAAAGGCGAGAAGGCCAACACCGTCAAACACCCAAAGGACATCAATTATGGTTGCCTCTTGGGGCCCTCTTAGGACGCATCTCGAAACACTCTTGGGGTGTCTTCGGGGCCTCGTGGGCCGAGTTGAGGCGACGCGCGCGCGACATGCTCGGGGAATCCTGGGGAATCCCTACAAATCCTTGTGAAAACGGTGGCCGTGGCCTTTTTTTCAGTTGAGATCTTTGCAACTCTGAACTTGTCAGGGCTGCATGCGTCTTCTTATATATATATATATACACACGTAAACACACATACATATACAACTATATATATATATATATATATATATATATGTGTGCACACACATACATTCATATAACATGTGTGTATGGATGGATGCATGTATGTATGTATGTATGTATGTGCGTATGTGTGCATGCGGGTAGGTAGGTAGGTAGGTAGGTAGGTAGGTATGGGTATGGGTATGGGTATGGGTATGGGCACGTGCACACACCTCTCTGATATAGACATAACTGTACGTGCTTGTATGTGTGTTGCTCTCTCTCTCTATGTGTATGTACGTGTATATATATACACATATAACTGCGCCGCTCTCTCTCTCTCTCTCGCTATATTTCCTCTCACGTTCCCTCGCTCTCTCTCTCTCTCTCGCTCTCTCTCTCTCTTTTTTTCCCTCTGTTTATCCTTCGCTCTCTTCGCATACGTGTGCATAATCACACATAAGATGTTTGAGCTTCCTGCATGCAGATCTTTCTGGAGGAGGTTCTTTGGATAAGCCGAAAGTTCCACGCCGAACGCCCCAAAGCATCCGGCACCCTACTTGTCCAAGCTGGAAGCGAGAGGCCGCTCCGTGGAGGCGTTCGATCGCCCGCCCGCCACCTCCTCCTGCCTCTTGCCAGCTCGCGCGGGCCCAGGTTTCCGCTCCCGCACCCCTGGCGATTTGCCGGACGTGCGCAGCGATGTCGGGCGTTCCGCCCTCGTCTACAGTCACGTCTGCGAGGAGGTGCGTCTGCGAGGAGACACTACTGATCGTGGGGCACGTCGCCAGGACGGGGACCGCGGCCCCGA